CTATGATTCTATGATTCTATGATTTTATACTCCCACCTAGGCTAAGATATCAGGGGTTTTTTCTAATCTTAGGTAGTACAAATGTCGCAACCTTATTCAGCTCTTTTGCCATACGATACAATTTTTATTTATGTGGCCACGGACTACTTTTTCCCACTGGACTGTACCTTCATTCAGTACACAGGATGCACATGTCAGATTAAGAAGCAGATAGGCAGCATCCTACCTTCTCATTATTCATATTCTCATATTCTCATATGCTTTGACACTTACAGCACTCTATTCAGAGACTGCTTTGAAGGCAGAATGATTAACTTCCTAACAGGCAGTCATCACTGTACCACTGGAGTGCTCAGAAAACTAATGAATGTACTCTGATCACGCTCTTGATAGGAAACATATCTTCTTGACATTTTAGAGACGCTGAATTGAGGTACTAAGATTTTCAGGTAACACATTCACACAATCTGTGTGTGCCTTATCCCAGTTATTTTACATTTCATTTTTTCAGAGTACTTGGCATTGCTCAGCACTTCTTATTTTCCAAGCACAGCTCTTCCTGATCTCAGTTACAGCTGTGAACACTCAGCACTTGTGCAAACCATACCGCAGAGTCACAATATAAAACCATCCCAGAGAAGAGCACTCAATTAAAAATCATCTGTTCAAAGTTTGGTTAAAGTGATTCCACTACCATTATCCAAAACCACAATGGCATAGGCAGGGATATCTTTACCACAGAAGTCTCTTCTCCCTGCAACCTTCAGTCTCATTTATGACAGACCTCCCACTTCTTCAACAAGTAAAACAAAAGCCCCAGAGAGGACAAGCCAGTAAATACAGCATTATTATTGGTATCATGCTCCTGTTAGATTTATCTTCAATGTGGGCACCATTAACCCCTCTTTGCTCAGCTGAAGAAGAAAAGGAAGTTAGCTGGTTTTGAGGATTTGCCACAGCATTTGAAAGGAGTGCCTTCTCCGTGCAGTCTGGACTCCTTTAAGCTAAAAAGCACACTAACCTTCAAGAGGATGTAGACAGAAGATTTTAAGAGTGATACCCTATCCCTACTGAGTGCCACAGCAGTTTCACCACTGGCTTCGACTGGGCCAGGATTTTACGCAACAGATCTTTATCATTACTTCAGGTTTTGACTGTGGTTCTTATGCATACGGAGAAACATTGTATTTCCATTACAGTAAGGGTCAATAAAGCTATCTACTAAGAAGTGATTAATTACTGACTGTTGATTTTGCACTAAATGTCACATTTACATTACTTTGCATATCCTTTTAACATCATTACACTACAATGTGATTTCTCTTACTAAGTGGGGGCTGAAGAGGGTGTCCAGTTTTTGTACACCAGCCTGCAGGATGGATATCAGGGCTATCTACATCAGTCCAATAATCATAAATACTATCCCAGCCATCAAAATGGACCTAAAATCAAAAAGGAGAACAATACATTTTAGATCAGAAAAATTCTCTATAAAATCAGTTTCCCTAAGTAATCTCTAAAAATTACATGTCCATTATAGAAGTCACTTTAAGAGAACTATCGATGTTACACAGAAAATACATGTACATTAGATTCTGGACCCAGGCATACTCTCACTGAAGTATAGAGAGAGGTGTCATGTGGTTGTTTACTATGTCTTGTATCATCATGATTCTATGATTCTATGATTCTATGATCAGGCTCAAATCCCAGGAATAAAGCAGGACAAGTTTAGTTCTCACATTAACACTTAAATTAAGCATGAATTTCTGCCTTCTTTCTCTCTCAGAAAAAACAAAAATCCAAACATTTTTTAATCTCCTGTTTGAACAGGATTTAAGAATAGCAGAGCAGTAAGCAAAGGACTAAAAAAATGGCATTTAACCACAAAAAACAAAAAACCCCAAGATACGAATAACAATTTTACTAAAATCAGACTATACAGGATAAGGAGTTGAAACTGAAGAGAAAATGAAGTACGTGATTTCCCAGAAAACCACCAGTATGGACTATACATGTGGTTTTTTTAGGCGAAAGCTAAATATCTTACTCTGTACTAGTAAACAGCTCAGATCTCTCACGCGCGCATGTGTGGATGCACGTACACACAGATACATACAAACAGAGCTCTTTCAACATGTGCTATGGAGTCAAATTACCACCCTAGAAGTTATAAAACCTGTAATTTTAATAAATTAGACTGGAGAGGGTGGGGTTTTTTTGTTTTGGGGTTTTTTTGCGTGACCAACCTAAAGTTCACATAGAAAATGTGTAGGTGTGAAGGTATTAGATCTGATGATTCCCTATCACCAGTTAATTCAGATTCAAAATGAAATGTCAGCTGCATTTCCTGCTTGAAATACCAAGTATGCCTAATAAATTTGTACAAACTGCAAACACAAATATCCTTTATATCCATCTAACTGGATATCTGGAATATGCTAGTCCTTCTAACAGTTGAAAAATAATTCAAGTATACAACTTCTGGAAAACTGCAATTTCTTAAAAATACATTATCTGAGATTAATCCAATCTAAAGTCCATAATTAATATAAACTTAGAATTGCAGAAGTCACTGACAAAGCACAAGAGATCGAGATTATTTTTTCATCTCTCACTTATCTCTGTCTCCTCTCCCTGGAAGTTTATAGAGACAGATACAATTAACCCAGGCCAAATATTTTATGGACCCTAATACAAATATCATAGCAGCCCTTCAACACTTGATATTAAATCATCACATTTCTTGATAGACAACTGTCTTATATCAACTATTCCCAAAGCAATTTTCCAACATATTCAACTCTAATTACCTAGGTCAGCAAATGTAACTAAGAGGATAATAAAACAACCCCTTCCAAAAGAATTATATGCATATTAATCAGTGAAAAGGATGAGCAAAAGCTTAGCAGGACACAGCAATGTGACTCATTTCTTCCTGTGCTTAATTTTACAACTATAGGATTTTGGTTTTACAAAGTACTCATCAGCCACTCAAGCAGGATAGTACAGTAAGACAGAGAAACTTACTTTTATTCTGTAGTCATCAGTATCTACAATGGTGGCTACTCTGATAAATACTGGATTTCTCTTGTCAACCACTTCAAGTTTCATGTTTTTCTGAAAGCCATGAGAAGGTTTCTAGAAAACAACAACAGTATTACGTGAAACAGAAAAAACCCTCAAAAATCTCACACAATTTTCAAGTACAAAAAATCCATAGAAAACTTTCTGCCTTCATTTTCTCAAATCTGCCCTCCCCCTCCAACAAATCCAAGCATAAAAAAATCATTCAAACCGGTGTTATTAAACTAGAGAAATAAAGCAACTACTTTGGGATTCCAGGTTCTCCTGGAATGGATTGGATTCAACCCATCCAAGCAAGTAAGTGGGGATCTTTTTTTTAAATCAGTTGTTTTTTTTCCTAAATTCTCTAGAAAAGTTTTCCCAGAGATTTTGGCCAACAGTTTCAATGCAGTATTGAATGAAGTATTACATACCAGCAGCCTGAAATGTCTATGAAATTGTCTACGGGAAACATATTTGTGTTTTTTTAGTATGTGTTTTTGCTTCTTTTTCAGTCTCCTACTGAAAACATAACTGATCCACAATATAAAAGTAAATACTCACTCAGAACAAACAGGACCAAATACTATTTTGGCAAAAAAAGGTGTCTTTGTTAGGAGTATCAGATTTTATCTTTGCCACCTACAGCTATGAAATCTAAAGCAAAAATTATTTCCCTTTTAAAGGAACATATGCACAAGACATGTTATGTTTTTTATTCTAGATTTCTAGGAAAATAACATATCTGTCCCTCTAAGACTTTCCAGAACATCGGTGCTTTTTCCTCAGCTGCAGCTTAAGAACTCTATTTTCTCCCATAATACAATATAAAATACTGTGACCGTCTCAGGAAGACTTCACCCAAACTCCAACACAATCAGCATTTTATTCCCATTAAATCTGCTTCCTTATTCTTTATCACAATTAGCATTAATATGGTTACCATTTACATTAGTACAGAAAGCAGGGAGGTGATTTTCTCTGGCTGCGAAACTGAAAGACAGAGCACAGCTGACCCCCAAGGCAGTCAAGTCTCCTTCCCCTCCATCCTCAAAGCCCAATGGCCTTGTCCAAGCTACCTTTTGGGACCTACACCATCCCCAGCTGCTCTCTGCTAGTACGGTTTCTGGAACAGTGTTGAGCCAGGCCAGCTAGTGCTCTTCCCCGTTTAATGCTGTCAATGCCTGCATGCTTGTGGCATGTCCTGTTCAGTTTCCCGGTGCAGACACAACCAGACAGACCTTGCTGCCCGGAGGACCCTGTGGGCCACTAGTGGGGCATTCCCACTGCCAATCCCTGCGGGGTGGCTGTTCCCTGAACCCCAGGGGGAGAAAGTAAAACACGGATGCTCTGAGAGAAAAAGAAAATGTTTGCTTTTAGCTTGATGTAGTCAAGGTCACAGCCCGCACTATACCTTGCAGATATAACCAAATACCTTCCTAAGCCTTGCTCCAAGTATTCTTGCTGAGAATGTAAGATTGAGACACGTTATTAAGCCAGATGCATTTTGGGGTGACAAACTACAGGTCAGTAATAAACTCTGGTGATCTACTGACCCCAGGAACTGCTATAAGCACCACATTTCTGCTTTTGTTAATCCAGCTCTTAGCAAAGTGTTATTCAGAATTAGTGACCCTGATCGGAAAAGCTGAGGCAAACCAGCTTCAGCGCGCTGAGACAAGGGGCTGGGAGCTACCAGCCATCTGATGCTTGCTCCTAACAGCAATCCTTTCTGCACTACTGACCAGTCCACTTTCCTCACTGAAATCCTAAGAGCTTAAGAAAGATGGGTGTCACTGAAAGAAACTAGCAAGTACAAAGCTAAAAGAAAAGGATGTTGCCCACAAACACCATAGTTAAGCTGGGGAGCTGCCTGTGGATGCTGCCCATGTGCTCTAGTCACAAGCTCGCAGAAGAAAAATTCTACTGAAGGATATTAAATACAAACTCTCTCAGCTACTGCCAGAGACAATTGACTAGATGGGCAACCAGACTGACCTCCTACAATCATTTTTACATTCTCACTGTATTTATTGCACCATTTAAAATGTACAGATAGAAGTACGTATGTTCAAAATATGTTATGATGACTCAGTAGCTATCTCATTATTTTTAATAACTAGGCAGTAATTTCCCACAGCAAATTACATTCATTAGCAATATTGTGTAGCACTTAATCCCATTTATAACGATTAAAATAATAAAGTAATAGTGATTTATAATAATAATAATCTGATTTCTAACAGTGAACTGCAAACTTGCATAAAAATAAACCACCTATTATGCAACTAATTAACTGGATACATTTGGAAACATAGGAACACCATATATGTATTCTTTTCTTAAACTAATTAATTATATGCACTTAAAAGCATGAAAAAATATAAGCATTTTCTCACCACTTTAAAAGCCCTAGCAGGTGCAGGTAATGAACTAGTTTCTTCCAAATATTTCTCCCAAGAAAAATGTTTAGCATGTGGATAATCTGGCACAGAAGAAATATGAGCAAAATTAAACACTGCAGTGCAAAAACCAAAACTGATGTCTAATTTACAGAATGGCTAACGCTTTTATAATACTGTTCTGATTTATGCTTCAGATTTATAAAATAATTACAGGAAAGGCTATTCTAAATTGTCTCTGACACATTCACCATGTAGATTAAAAAACCCAACAGTCTTCTCATACACAATACCGAGTAGCTAGCAGAAAAAGTCACAATTGCTTTGGATATGAGAATATTAATAATGTGGACTGGAAAAATCTGTCCACTTAATTCAAGAAATTCATTCAAGTATTACAAGCCTAATCCTGTATTTTATAAACAGTAATTTACTGGCAAACACAATCTAATCAGTGATAGCTTTGTACCACAGTAGAGCACACCTGACTATTTGCTATTCTTTTAGTGAATTTGTTTTAACTAAATTTCTAAAAAAATGGCCTGGACATTTACTATAAGAATCATTTACAGACATCATCAAAGATGTTGCCTTTCTGAGAAAGTGTCATGTTTACAAACACTTCATGCAAGAAACACAAAGACAGCTTTGCTCTTAAAGAAAAGGCAGTGCCTGTCCTTTGCCTTTAATCTGCACTAGAAGTTTAACTTGAAGTTTTAACATTATGATTCATAATCTAGAACAGAACACAACCAATTCTGATTTTTTTTAAAAGGGATTTCACTGAATATTAGGCTATAATTAACCTCCTGACAGACAGATTGCTTATGACTTTTCAAGATTGCTGGCTATTAGAATTTATGTCAAAGTTGGTTTTAACCCATTAAAATTTTCCATGTTCTCAGACCACAGATGCAGTTTCTGCAACAGGGCATTTAGATCATCCAGATATACACAACAATCCTGAAAAACAGGACTAATAAATACACTTTCGTTCTTCTGTATCGTCTCTCTCGTGTTTTCCTCCCTTCCAAAGAACACTTACAAGTTTGACTCCCTGATCACGTAAAGCAATCTTCTCATCAACCCCTTATCTTGCATATTTAGTTCACATGAAGATGTTTTTCTTATGCAACAATCTCACACACCTGGAATTTGTTTTATTAGCACTTTCACAATCTGAGTCTTAGAATAAGTGAATACATTCAGCCAAAAATACAAACTTGTTCAGATTCCAGGGTGTATCTTTCATGCATACATGCCTCTTTATTAAAGCAGCATACATGTGCATACTTAACACCTAACGTCCACCGTGCTTTCAATATATTATGTTATGTAAAAAAATTCAGCACTCCCCAAATACCAATTCTTAATTACGGAAAGAAAAATTCAGGAGAGGTAACAATAAGATTATTGTAAGTTTTAATGCTGCTAGCTGACTATAACCTCCTTAAATCTTTCAGACATGTAATAAGATACAAACCTGGTGGGGTGATGAGAGTTCTTTTATGTTCTTTACACCATCCAACAGGATGAATATGTGGGCTAGCTGCCTCACACCTGGAGGGGAGAAAAAAGGCAATTGATAATGCAGTTCTTCAGACATCCTATTATTCTCAGAAAACAAGAAATACAAAAAAGATTTAACAAATTCCAAATAACCTATGACATCTTTAACTTACACTTAAACTGCAAACATAACCTGAAGATACGAACGCATTTAACACAGACTTGTCTCCACCTAAAGAAGCTTAAGGCTTTATTTACAATTTCACTGGATAATCAAAAAATCAAGTCCTTTAAGTCAGTGGTAGATCTCCATTGAGAAGCTATAATGCTGGACCTGAAAAATTGACATGTAGAGACTCTTGATAGAAACATGTTGGCTGGTTGCAAGAACACAGTAATCCCATCAAAGACAGATGGGGTTTTGCAATGCCAAGACCAAAAATTTAACCAAAAGCTTAAAGACTGATTAACGATCCAAGTTGCACCTGGAAGCAGACTAGAAAATCACGCATAACTGCAATGCGTTGTTAATAACACGTAAAAATTCAAAACCAGATTCTGAGTGGTTTGAACGGAGCTATAAACACGTTATTATAACCCAGCAGCACATAAGCAAAGTACGTCTGAGAAAAACTGTCAGCAAAAAAGAATAAAATAGCATTTTATGCCCCAAACTGCCTGAAAGAATCCAGAACTAGTCAGTGATCCAAGACTGCAAATTGCTCTAAAATAGCTGATCAAACTCTCTTATTCAGGGGACTAACAACTTCCCATATTTTGTGTCACGTGTATCAATTTTTGCACTAGTGCTGTTGCCTGTGGCATGCCACAGGAACCACAGAAGACTAACAGAGGCAGGGTGAGCTACACTTGACACGTGCTGGCATCTGTCTGAAGCAAGGAGAGATCGCTCTCACTGTGCTCACTGGTTCAGTTGCATTGTGCTTAGAAGAGAGCAGCAGTGGGTGCTGGCTATCAAGTTCTGCTACCAATACAAAAAAATGACACACACTGCAAAAACGTAATTGATGTAAAAGCAGTTGAGAGAAAAACTGTTTAAACACTCAGTATTATTAGATTATCATCTACAGGACTATATAATTTTATTACATATTGCTATATTATTTCATAACATAATATATTATGTATAATATAACATATAGTGTATATAAGATATAATGAATATACTATAATTCTTATACTATCACTCAATATTGTTAGGAAAGGCAAAAAGTATGACTGATCTACAGGAAAAGTAAAAAACCATCAGACTCCGCTGTGAAACATGCACCATCCCTATGTCTGCATCGATACTCAATGATTGAGTTGGCTGAACAATTAACAGTGCTTTTTAAAGAAGTAGATAGTTCTTATGTAGTCAGGGTGACTAAGGATCTTCATGCTGACACAAAAAGCTAGCATTATTCTGCACAGCACTGCACTACACTGTGCGAAAGTACTGTTTGCCTCTATTTAGCTGGAAACTCATATGTAACCATGTAATCCTCACGACGATCCGTCCTTAGGGACCTCGCTTCTCTTAGGAGCCTGTCCCAGCTAATTTCTTTAGTTAGATAAATTCAGTATTACAGTGCACTCTCTCTCTCTTCCACTATTTCCTAACCCTAAAGGTGCTTCAGAGGCTGACCTTAAATATTCCCAGCTACGCGCCCTCTCTCTTCTGGAGAATCCCATCAGCATTTCCATCTCTCCAGTGGCCACGAGCCCAGTGCCTCACTCACTCCAGGGACCCACTGAGGCCAACAAACTGCAGTCTGAGTAAGCTGAAGTAGCTAAGGCCTTTATTCCCCATTCCCCAAGGCGGGATCAAGAAACCAAGGTTAAGTAGCCAAGCAGTAGTCTAGCCAGAA